CAATGACCTACGTGATGCAGCTCACTGTCGTTACCGGGGACTAGGGTAGTTGAAGAAAAATGGAAGAAACTTTGGGGCAGACCAGAACAACTGATAGGTGGAACTCCTTCCAATTCCCTTCTGTTAGCGACTACCATCTTCCTTCTGCCACAGTTTCCAGGGCACATCTTTCATGTGCATTAAGACAGATTCTTTTATAATCCAGAATATCTGTTGTACTTTAAATAGGAAAACAACTGACCTATTTGACTGCTATATTTTTTACCCTTCTGTGAGTAATACAAAGCATATGTACACACCTTCATGCATCCTTAGTATGCATTTCTTTTGGTAAGGCCTGTGTACGTCAGCAGCCAAGCTCCAGAGCTTCTGCTGAAGTTCTCCAGCATATGCCATGTAGCAAGGGAGTATGGTGGACTTTCTAAAGTGTAAATGACCTAATCTGCTGTTCATCCTGTATGCTTTTAGATTCTGGTAGATATGAAGCCGTAGACAGAAGATCATGATTTGTGCTTATTTGCGTCAGTCTAGCTGGGAATCTTTGGCAAAGAGCAGTTTAGCCTTCATTTTTGAATGTGTAATGGGCAGAGAAACTGCAGTAGGTGGCAGATGAGGGAGGACCTCCACCTGGGTTCTCCCAGGGACACTTCTCAGTGTAACAATCCAACAATTTACGGACCGTTCAGTTCACCTGATGTCTGATTTGTGTTCTTCTTGTCACTTAGGAAACAGATCCTGATGGGGTGGATGATGGAAATGGGATTTCAAGTGGTTTCCCACCTACTTCTCTTACAGTGAGGTTACCTTTTGTTGTTAGTTGTCCCTTCTCATGGTTGAGGAATACATCTGGTACAGGTAGCTCCCTTTACAAGCTGCAGATTGAGCTCTGGGTGGGATCTTGACAAGAGGCCACAAACTGCCAACCTTTTGGATAACAAAGGCTACAAAGATGGGTGGCACCAACCAGGTGAATGGACACTTGGAGAGCGTCCCCTCCACAGCAGGGGTGGAGGACTCAGGAGGAAGAGTGACACTTGCATGTGGGTAGACTGTGAGGGTGTAAAAGCCCAGGGGGTCCTTTATTAAGGGTCCTCCTTGGAAGCATCGTGGGCTGTTTCTGTGTTACTGCACTATGAATAAATTACTTTGTGGAACAAGACATCTGAAATTCTGCCATGGGAAACCTAAGGTCGAGCCAGTAAGGAAACCTGGTCTGACTGTGTGAGTGGGGAGTCAAGTGCAGCTCCTGTCAGGTCATTGGAGCTGCTAGCTATGAAGGGGCTTCAGTCCCAGCAGTCCCAGAAAGTCTCTGGCATTGGGAGTGTGACTGCCAGAGAGTCTAGTGAATGGTCAGATTGGGAAGTTTCCTTAACATCATGTACTTAATGCTGATAACCCAGAAGAATCTAATTTTCTGCTTATGTTGCTGTCAGATATACTGCTCAGGGGAAGGCCACAGCCACCAGGCCCCAGTCATGTGCATGCTTTTCCTTCCTTTTGTGCTGCTCAACTGCCTTCAGAGACTGTCTCATTTCCTCTGAATCCGACTGTTCTTGCTGCAGCTTCGTGGTTCTGGCAATGTAATGACGACCCAGCTGATGTGGTTCCAGGTGGCATTTTTAGTTACTGTTTGTCTGCCCTGCAGAAAGCAAAACTGGACTACCTGGGTGGGTGAAATCTTAGCTTCACTAGGCTAAGATCTCCTCTGGGCTCTGTGGCCAGGATTTTGACCTTTTTTGTCTTTCGGAGTCGTATTCGTTTGCGAAGGCTCTCTGCAATGGCACTATGGCTGGAATCCATTCTTGGCTGGAACCAGTGTGGCTATAGATAGGGGGAACAGTTGAGCTTCAAGCTGTCCTCTCTCTTGGCATTCCTGTGTGCCGCAGCCAGTTTTGCGGGAAGTCTCTCTGGACAAGAGCAGTCGTTTAAATTGTGGCTTATTGGCTGTTGGCAGCATGAGTAAAGAAATCTCTACAGAGTCCAGCTATGAAAAAAGGCTTAACCTTTATTATAATTTGCTGAATTCCCAAATTCCTAAGAGAGGTTTTCTTTAAGTATTTTACCCCACTGAATGATATGTTAACAACCATGGGGACAGGAGGAGAATAAGATCCCTTTGCAGGCAGATGACTGCCCTGCCTATGGGACCTAGTAGGTGTATGTACCCTCTTTATCCCTTCCCTGGCACCCTATGATTGCTTCAGCTTTCCAGGCAAAAAGAATCCGAAAAGTCTTTCCTTTGTGAATAGAACATCATCTACAGCAGTGGTCATGGGACTTGCCTTACATATGTAGTTTATGAACCAAATAAAACACAATGAAGGAGAAAGCTGAGCCCTTTGCCACCTCCTGGGGGCAAGTGTACTCTGCTGTTGGATGCAGGTGCTGTAGTAATGAGAAAGTCTCGTTACTACAGTAGGAGTAGGAGCAGTCCCCTTGCCTTAGCATTTCTTCATTTTTGGCAGGCTCCCAGTTTGATGTGATTGAAATTTGGATCCCAATTGGCAGCTGCCCACCTCCTCACCTCTGAATCAGGTAGCATGTGGAATTAATTTAGCTGTGGAATATGTCCTGTGGAGCTTGTCGCAACTTGCTTTGTATTGAGTGGCATTGCTTTCCTGGCATCCTTGTCTGTTCGTACTCGGTGCTGCAGATGGTCTGTTCATTCACGTAACTTTATCCTTTAATTAGTGCTGTGGAGTTAACGTGCTTTAGGTTGATACAGTGCGTGCATTATTAGGGACCTTGCAGATTGGGGATGCTACAGTGGGGCATCTGGGTTTACTTTACAGCTTTCTCTAAGCCACCTTTGAACAAAGGCAGGCTTTATTAGAACATCTACCGGGCTTCTTTACCGGAGGAGAACTGTTTCACATCATCTTTGAATATCCAGTTGGATTATATCTGCTGCTTGAGCTCTTTCAAAGAATTCTAACACATGCTGTCCTCGAAGTACCTGCAGAAAAACTGGTTTTACTTGTTTGCCATCATCAGAGGGGGTAAACTGTGTTTTCTAATAATTTTCCTTGTTCTCTTTACAGTCATGGCAACATGTCCTTGCCTGCAAGGCCAGAACCCTTTTTGAGGGGGGACACAGAGCTCAGTTATTACTGGCAGTAGCACAGAACATATTAGCTGGCATATTTTCATTGAAGCTTAACATTCTCTGGATTTCATTTCCCTATGTTTTCTTGGGAAAATACCTTCCCTTCCTGCCTTGTTTATTGTGGTTTGATATTCCCATCTCAGCCCACGTTTATATCCTCTCTGGTTTGGCTGCTTTAGAGGATGTAACTAAGCAGGTGTGTGGAGGACCTGAGGAGGTTCTGTGTTTTCTTTTTATGCTGAGATTCAATAATGCTGGTAACTCCCATGTTTCCCTTTGTCCTCCAGTAAGGAAGTGTCCTTGTTGTTGCTTGCTTATGCATACTGATGTATTTTATTTTTAAAATAAGTGATGCCTGAAAGTTATGGAGGCATTACCTTCAGAGCTTTCACGCATGCTTTATGAGGTACTGTCTTGGCCTCTATAGAAGTAATATAAATCCTGACCACGAGTCAGTAAAGTGTTTGAATTTGGCTGAGCATCATCCAGCAAATGCAGTGTGTGATTGGGATGCAGCAGGCATTGCACGCATTGCTGGTTTTGCTCATGACTTGCTCTGTGACCTGTGATAACTCATTCCCCCATAGTGCAAAGAGGATAGTGAACTATCATTCTCTGTATAAAATGCTTGGAATATGTAATTTTTTTTCTGTTGTTTCATCAAAAGCAGTCAAAATATTTGATCCTGTTTTCATTTTACACAGCTCCTATGGAGTCTAATGGAAATAGAACCAGACCAGTGTCTTTTGCAGAATCAAAAACCTAGAAAGCTTGGCCTCTCTTTAAAACTTCCAATTAAATATTCAATAAAAAATGTGGGCAACATAAATTTAGGGTATGCACTAAGTGCTAAGCTACACTACTTCCAAATTGTTAAGCAACATAATATATAGGGCATCTATCTCGTCTCTGTTTTCTGCTTTCACAGATTCAAAACTAACCAACCAAAAAGTTGATATGTTATGGAAAACAGAAAAACAGTGCATCATTTAGTTGCCCTGTTTAATATGGTCCCTGCTGTGTTAATTCCCCTGTAATCCTTTCTTTAAACACAGTTGTGTCTCATTTGCGGCAAGTTATGTTCCAAATAAACACTCCATGATCCTACGTGTTTTAAAAAGCTTCTTACTTAAGGTAACTTCACTAATCTAATAAAAGGTACGGTTAATTATGCCTGCCTTTCAGATTAGCGTTGCCAATTTTGGCTAATTTATGTCTATCACTATCTTTCCTATGTGTGATGCTTCCCTGTTGTATTAGTAAGAGAAAGATGAAGTGTGTGTAGTTCAGTGAATTCACAATCCCTAGTGAGGGATTTTGTTTATATTAATCTCTAATAGTCTTTAAGAAAGGAACAGCTCACGTGACATGTCTTTCTATTGCCAGCTGGTACATAAATGACAAGAGCTAAATGCAGGATATTTCCTGTTTTTAGCCAAAACTACAGCATTCAGTGTGATTCAGGACGATACTTGAGGCAGTTTGATCCAGTATGATGGGACTGGCAGTTTAGGAAACTACCTTCACGACCTTTGCTCTTTGCATCTTCAGGTATCCGGCTCCCACTGCTTAGCTGGGAGAGCTGCTCTTCCTCCTTCTCCCTGTCCAAGCAGACTCAAGCATGATCCCTGCCCTCTAACTCTGCTCTCAGAACACTTTCAGAACTGATTGATAATTTATTTATTCGTTTTGCATAAATTGTGCTCTGACCTGTCTAGTTAAAGTTCTTGAAAACTTCTGTGTCTTTCCACACTCAGTGCACCAAACTCTCTCCTGTTTAGAATGCGGAGAGAAAATAAGAGATGCGTCTTGATCCAGTGAATTACTTAGCTTTGGTTTAGAAATAATTGCATTTCAAGCTACTTTAACATCATCTAATATTTTTATTTTTTAGTTGCAAGGCCTGACAATGGCACGGAATGAGCACTGCCTTCAAGCCTCCTTCCTGTAAATATTAGGACCAAACGAGGCGGTGTGATGAACATGCCACTGCATCAAATCTCTGTCATTCCAGCTCAGGATGTTACCTCTTCCAGAGTCTCCAGGAGCAAGACCAAAGAAAAGGAGGAACAGGTACTGCCAGATATGCTTGATTTTCCACAGGAAGTTATCTAAGTATAAAACAATAGGGTTTATCAAATCAGACCTGATTCTGTTCTAAAGCCCCAACTTCTTGCACGACTCCTGTTTTTAGTGAGGATGAATGCTACCAAATTATCTCTTTATTCTCATGTGTGCTATTTTAAAAGCAGCTGGCTGCAAAGTCCTAGAGGTTGTTGTTGAGTAACTTGTGTAAAATGCAAACTACAACCTTCTACTTTGCATAAAAATGTAAGGCAGATAGGAATTTGGATGATGGCTCTAGTACCATTGTCATGGAACGTGTTACAAGAGTATTTAAAGAAAAATTGTGTGGGGTTTGAACACCTATATGAAGCCTGTCTTGCTTTGCTCTTGGTAGCATGTAGTAGGTGTGTTGTGTTTCATAGTGACTGCAGTATCACAAGGAAGGATATATACACCCATGCGTGTACGTAGTGTGCTGTTTTATGGAATGTGATCTGTATTCTTAATTTGGTAGCATGTGTGTGAATGGAATCCTTTTGAGGTCTTGTGGTGCTAATGAGGACTGGAATGCAAAAATATCTGAAGTATATATCTGATTATAAGTCCAATAGAATCCAATTAATATGCTACTTAACAGTTTTTATAGCATGCTGTGTCTAGTCTTCACATGTCAACCTTTTTTATCCCTGAACTGTGTCTCTGCTCAGGCCAAAGACCTCAACGTGCATTGCGCTTTAGTGTGCAACTGTACTGCACTGAATCTTATATTATCTGTCGGTTCCACAGAAACCTCTTTGTGGTTTTTTAGCTTTGCCCTGACATAAAATTAGATCAAGAAGACATTCGCTTTATGGTAGAACTTCAGGGCTTGCTTTGTGGACTGCTCAGCAGTGGTTAATTCTGAGGAGATCTAGAGTGATGCTGATTAGAGATAGGGCATAGCTTACATGTAAGGGACTAAAAAGACACTATCATGTTACAGAAAGGAATTTACTAAGACTCACTTTGAGTAGGGTAAAACAGTTGTTTCTGATGTGTTGATATCGTTTTCCCTAACTACCTGTCTCACCTGTCAGCTCTCCAGATTGCACCTACCAAAGTCACCAGTGAGTTAGTAGAAATAAATTGTCCCATTGGGGGATATTTTTTGAATCTTCTCTTTAGTAACATCTTAAAAGGATTCTAGCCTTTCAGATTCCTAAACCAGTAATTAATAAGGCTGGCACACTGCTGCTTTTGGTTGCCAGGCCTAGGCAGGAAGTTATCTTCACAGAGGAGGTGCTCTAAATCCGTGAAGCACCTTGTCTCAGGAGTCTGCTGGAATCTCTCATTTCCCACCTGTTACACACAGTCACCGTCTGGGCAGCTCTCTAGATAAGAGGGATTTTCTGTTTCTTCTCTTTGGTACCCTCCTATATAGAAACAATATGCACTGAGAGGGTGAAAAAGCTCCTTTGCCAAATGCAGGTCAGTGCTACAAATTTACTACCCTGCCCTGGGTAATGGAGATTTGGAGGCAGATCAAAACAACTTGTGGTATGTCTAACCATGCAGTGAACCTAGAAGTGGGAATTCCAACTCTCCTTCTAACCACGTTTTTCATTTCCAACAGAGCAACTTCAGTGTTAACAAATCTCCCCTGTGTTTCCTTCATGATAACTAGTTCAAATGCTGATTATTGTTCCCCTTGCCAGGTTGCTGTTATATTTTCATGCCTTTGCATGTTAGAAACAGAGCAGAATACTTGTTTAAATATGTGCAGTGTTGAAGGGGAAGTGGGACCATACAAGCAGTAGATTAGGCTAACCCGGAAACATTTCATGTTTCCCAAGTCTTATCCTTCCTGTCTCCATCAGCATATTCATTCATCCCCAAGTGTCCTGCATTCTGGCAAAACTACAGCTGGAACAACTGAAGCTCTGGGTGAACTGGCTGCTGTTCTTGATGCACAGCTGTACTGACACTGTGGCTGCTCCTGTGCACATGAGCCACAGCCCGGCTCTTGTACGCTCTTCCCCGCTCTTGTAAACTGCATTGCTTCTGGTATTAACCTTTAATTCTGGATCTAACAAATGAGCTGGACAGCAGTCAAGTTATTAATGTGCTGACTTTGACCAATCCGGTAAAATTTTCATTTTCCATCAGTTAGGACGTTCAAGGCTGCTTTATAGTCAGAGTCCCTGTCAACTCTTGGGTGCAGTCAAGACCCAAATAGTAAATTCCTTACCTTTTCTGTGCAGGAACAATAAGCAACTCAAACAAATGTGTACACTGGAGTCTTAAAATGTTTTGAGTTGTACAAAGCCACTTGCCAATCTGAACAAAATCAAACAAACCACAAACCACAATCAAAACCAATAGTGCTACTTCAAAGATAAATATGTAGGTTTGCTGTGTAATACCAAACTTCTTAGACCAAGTGCATTGCCAGGTGTGCATTTTGTAGGTTGAGCAGACTCATGTACATTTCTCCCCTTTATTAACAAGCTCTGGCAAAAGCCAAGGTGAATAGAGTGTCATCTAGCAGATGAGATTTTGTATGGCTTTCATTCTTGCTATTTCAAACTAGACCTTTGACTTGTCTGTGCCTACATCCTGCATTGTAATAAGTCCTTCGGAGGAAAGGCTCAAGAACACAGCAGCAGAAACTGAAGGACCAATGTGCCTAGAGAGAGAACTTCCACCAGTCTCTGAAAAATCAGTGTTTTTCCTATTCCCCAGAACATGCTTTATGTTCTGTTCTGTTCTGTTTTGTGATTATGATTATCCACATTTGTAGTAGAGGTGCAGAGGGAAAATTCTCAGTCTGAACAGTACATGTCTCTTACTATTTCTTCTCTTCCATGTTTCTGGTCAAGATGTAACTTATGTATTTCAGATTAAGGCTTGGTTTTATTAAGCATTTCCTTGTTACAAGAGCAAGTTTTCTGGACTAGTGATATGTGACTAACAGTGAAGAAACAGCAAGAAATCCTTACCACCTTTACCATTATAATCCAATTTCTCAAATTGGGTGACCTGTAGTGTCTAGGCATGCCTCATGGCAGATTAACATGTACATTCAATATCTGTGGAAGTCTGTGGCAAAAATCCTATTGAATTTGAAGAAGTGTTGAGAGGAAGAGCTGCTGCCTACCATTTCTGGTCCAGGTCCTCAGTGATATGTATACATAACAGAGCCTGGTAGATTCTGATTCAGGTTAGTGTAATCTTCAATATTTAGAATAGTTGAAATCTGAGGTTAACAGCAGTATTTCATAAAACTTTGTCCATTTCCCCAGTAAAAATGAGGAAGGTCGTAAAGGGATTATTACTGCTGCATTTAACTCAGATGAACTGATAGCTTTAAGGGCTATTAATAAGCATCATTAGCTTCTTACTTATCCTTCACTAGGAATAGCTTCATACTTACCTGATTTAAGGGAGAGTCACTGTATTATTTTTGAGGAACTACAGCCCCTGCTTGCTCCTCTTTAGTGGGCAGTATGCTGGCTGCAGTGTTTCCTAATGTATGCAAAAGCTAACAGCTCTCAGGATTTAGACAGGAAATGAGGAACCGATGCTGGCATGTGGTTGAGGTGTTCTGGGTTTGTTTTGTTATAGCATTGTCTTTTTCAGGGCTTTGTGCCTTTCTCACTGAGGTGGACTGATGTCTACCACACCTCGTTAGTAATTATTGATTAATTACTTCAGTGAGTGAAACTTCCTGAGCAATAGCTTTTCACTGCTCTTCTAAAAACGTGTGTCAACTGTAACCTCTTGTGCTGTGATCTCTGCAGATCTCCTAAGTGGATCAGGGATGGGTGGGATCAGCGTGTAAATGAGAGATCATGAGATGTTGGTCCAAGTCATTTTGGTGCACAGTACTCTTTCTTCTCAATGGCCTGAAACTGGGAATCAATACTGACTTGTCATCAAAGATCACACAGCATTTATCACAGAATGCTCTAGTTAGATTTAAACTTGCCAATTCCACTTGGTCAACTGAAACTCACTTCTGCTCACTCCTCTTGTCTACTAAGTGTTGTGTAGTATTGCTGGCTGCTGTGGGCTCAGCAGAGATGCTGTGATCATCTCTGACATCTCCAGGTACTTCTCAAAGCTGTCATCTTGAAGATACTGACTACCTAATTTTTCTGAATGAAATTATGCTGAGAGAAGTACATGGTGATGCATCTTCATAAATTTCTTCTGCCTTCTTAACGATCTCTTGCATCCTGTAACAGGAAAGGCACTGTGGCCTATTGATTCAAATAAGCCACATCTTACTGGAAAAGCAGGAGTTACTTGAAGGAAAAAAAAAACAATAGATGCATTTGCAAGAGTTTATAGTCACTGATCAGTACCTCAAGGTAAAGGCACATGTTTTATGTTGTTGAATTCAGAGTGACAGTTAGAGAGCTATTATGGTTTTTTTTAAGGTACGGAAGCACTCTATGATCTTTTCCATTCACTTTTTGGACTTTGAGCTCTGAATGAGATCTCTGAGTAGCTGAACTCAGTCCAAATACTCAGGCATTTGTAAGGCTCTGTGTGTGTGTGTTTGGTTTTGCTTGCCCATTGAACCAAATAATTCATTAAGCAGCCAGGCTACAAATCCTTTGAGAATTTTACCCCTTATTATTTTTATACTGCGATTTGTGTGTTTATGAGTAACTATGTCATATATTAACACTGGGCCTGGCATTTTTCCTTTATTAAATTTGCTTTGTATAGAAACTGGCTAACTATGGAAGAATTTTTGTCTGAGTATCCCTTAACTCTCCTGTGAGAACCAGAATGTGTCTCTTGCTGTACTGCTTACAGACCTAGGCTCAAAGTGGGAATTGCAAAGTCCATTCCTAACAATGGCTTGGCTTTTACTTGATGTTTTTCAATGGATCATAAAGTGTTCCTCAGAAAAAGTTGTCATACTTTCCACTTCCTGAAACACAGCAATCAGGCAATGTTTTGACAGAGCGGACAACCTGTGACAGAAGCACCCCTGAAGAGCTGCAGTGAAAGTC